CCGAGCTCAGGGTGAAATACTTGCCGATCTTCTTACTTCGAAGAATGATTGCGGCGTTCGGCAAGAAGGGCGAGGAATTTACCACAGCATTACCTCCGTCTGGGTTAGAGGCTTGATAAAAAAAGAAATGATAAAAAAAGGGATGGAGCTCCATCTAAACCCTCACATTTCCTTCAACCGCTACGAGGCACGTGTGGCTGTATAGATGGTAGTGAACGCATTTAAAACCGGTTCGCCGATTGTTCCACGAACCTGTATAGCATATCGGATCCGGGTAGTCGCTCTAGAGAGGCCCGCAGGAACCCAAGGGCTTCTTTTTCCGTCTCCTATGGACTTCCGTGACTCACGGATGTCCCGGATTCCCCCGTTCTCCTAGAGACCCTTTATTTTTCTCCTCCCCACCTCATTTTCCTACCACCACTCGTGAACATCTCGACAAGCACGACGCACCCATTAAAATTGATATGATGTACATAGAGTTGACAGTGAGAAGAACAAACAAAAAATAAAAATACCAAAAATAAATTCAAATCGCGATAAATAAAAATAGATCCCAATTTAACATCTTAAGATATCGACTCTTAAGACTTTCCGTTTTCATCCGGAGAGTATCGCGTTCAAAAAACCAGGGCGTTTGAAAATTTTCGATTAAGATGATAACGCGGAAAATAAGGTATGATTTCATCGAGTTTATTGGAGTTTATCCGAAATATTCAATTCACCAATGATTTTCTTTCCCGAGCAAGCACCTCCGGCCTGATAAAAGTACATTCATCGTGGAAGAAGCTTTACCCAAAGCTCGTGCAATATTCACACCGTATTTTAGCCGCCATCAGGAACCCTCTCCGCGAGCGATAAAAGTGGTGTTTTCCTACATTCGAGTTTCCGATCCGTCGACTCTAGATGCACACAGACACACCAATTCTGATATCGTTTGGGATTGAACTTTTGCACGAGCACGATTGCCAAACATCCCTTCTCGATCGACCCTATCTGGCTTTATCTGGAAGAGAAGCAGTCCCGATACCTCACTTTGGCGACGTTACAGAGGGAGGCCTCAGAGTGGCTCGTATTTAATTCACGGTCCACCGATTCCTGCGGCCTTTCAAAAGCCTTCCAACTGTCTGAAACCCATTTTTTTCCCGTCGTTCCTCCATCTTTTATAAACATTACCGAGCGTCTCCACTTTTCTCGAACACTCTCTCCACATCTTACTTTTATCCCCCCCCCCCCCAACCCCACCTCCTCGATATTGAGTAATAAAAAATTACTACCTACGCGACTCGACTGGAATTTACTAAAAGGTGATACCGGTTTTCTGCAGTAATGGAGGCAGAACAGCGCGGGCGGCGGAAGTGATGTCACGTACAAAATGAGAGAGGCCCCCTCAACACACACAAGCTTACATGTAATCCAAGACAATGTGCATTGCATGCACGAGATATGCTCTGACTGCTACGTTCAAGCCCCTGTTTTACAGCGGAGAGGTTTCGTACATTTAACGCCCAAAACCACGATCATCTTCGATGCCGTTGAGATTTAGTTGGGGGGTTTGTATCATGAGGGCTTGAGATGAAGGGGATTTGGCTCGTGTGTCGTTGGTAGATATTTGTATGCAACCGAGAGCAGGGGCTTGATAGAAGAGATTCTGTATCAACACAGCGCTAAGGCTTCACGCTTTTCCATCTTCTAATCGGGGATTCTATGGTATTTAATCAGATTAGCACCACGAGTGCTGGGATATCGTTTTTGTCAGTGCCAAATGTAGTTGGTCACTTATCTGTTTTGAATTAAATGCGGGGTATAGAATTTAAGTGTCACTGGGAATTGAAACCTTGAAAACCTTTCGAAACCATTCATTAATTCTCAGCTGGGAGGGAATGGTAATGCGTGAAATGCGGCTTAAAAGAATTGTTCACTTTGTAGGAACAGGATGGAACGATTTGGGGATGATTTAAGGAGGATAGATCATTTCTATGATTGTTTAAAAATGCGAGGTGGGGCGCCGCCATTTTGGTAACTCGACGCGGTACAGACTGGGGGAATCCCAAAATATGGATAAACCGTTTAAAAATGAGAGATGCTGTTCTGTATAAATTCATCACATTCGTGTACGAATTCTTCAATAGAAGAGGAATAATATTGAAATTCAAGAATTCCTAAGACACCGAAGACGTTGACTCGAATTGATGAATTATCTATCAGCCTGACGCCAATGTAGAACACATTGGTACTTCCTCAGGCACAGGAGAAAAGCGAGAATTTACAACGAGTAAACTCTGTAAATAATTGAGTTTACGGTGTGGTACACGGAGTGAGAGGGACAAAGTGTACGTTTTTCTTTCTCTCCCGTTCTTTTGAGAGTTCTCCCAAGGGGAATACGTAGCTTAGTTCACAGCAGTGGGTGGGATAATGTTTATGTTTAGTCTTCGACAGGAGTTCAAGTTTAATAGTGAGTGCGGTGGCATGAAATCTAAACTTCTACCCGATAATTTCGATTCGCTTCTCTCGTTGTGCGTGGATATCAGTATGGCAATTTGTTTTGTGCGAAATTCACGCGAAACCGTCAAAACACGACAAGATCTTGAATCTCAGACTGACATTTCGAGTAAACTATGAAAAGCAATACTCAGCGATGAAATAAAATTGAATAATACAGTTTCTTGTATGATAATGGATTTTCAATGAGAATTTTCTACGAAGAAGCCAATTACAGGGCACTTTACTTTTATACTCGTTTTTACGTTCTTCTGATTCCCCTCCCTTCAACATTGGGAAGCTACTGTTATAGTGCTACTTCCGCACGGCGATATTGCCTGGTGTTCACCTTCCCCCTCAACCAACTTTTTGTTCATTTTTATGTTTCTTCTTTTATTGATTGGAAACATTATTGTTGTAAGATGATTTTTTTTTCAGTCGCGAAACGGATTCACGGTCCATTAGAATCCATACATTTATTCGAAAGGCGATGGTTCGCGGCTAAAATGGGTATTGAGTGGTTTTTTTCCTTCATCCGAGAATTCTTCATCTTATTCCATGTATACTCGCGGTTATAAGGCCATTAGAGTATCAAATACTTGTTCATGTTTTTCCTGAGAAAAACGTGAATTTGTTCATTTTGTGGTTTCGATTGTAGAAGTTTGGAAATTGAGAACCGAGGGAGGTCGTTTGACCCAAATTCAGTCTGGAATCACAATAACTTTTCTTCAATTTTTATCGCGGTGGCGTTCACCTAAATCCCCTGAACGAAAATGAAAAACTCTCTTTTATCAATATTGAAATCCCGCTGACAACAATGAATCCTCTGAGGGCTGCGGTATTTTCCGCTCAATCGCTGGAAAATGTGTCCTATCGCACCGAATACAGACGTTAGTCCGTGAATAGTGAATGCCTATCACGTAACGATTCTGAGACACGTTAGAATGAAAGAAATTCAATGGATACAATGTGAGGGGGAGTGGTGGGGAGTAAGGGAGGTAACATCACCAGGGGGGATTGTCGGCGTCCGATACGACTCCCCCGAGGGATATGATGCGATGGGGTTGTGGATGCTGACACACGTTGCACAAAAGAGCCAGTGGCTCAAACGGATTTCAATTCAACGTCGTAAATGGAGAATGAGGAGCCACGAACGATTGTACAAATTTTTCAATGATAAATTCACCCCGATAAATTCCCACAGTCAGCCATTCACCAGAAATCGAGTCGTGTATTTTCATCAGAGTCAATTAACCAGTGCATTAATTACCTGAATTGACCTGTTGAAAATGCAACAAGCAAGTATTCGCTCAATTCACCGTGTTCAATAGAAAATTAGAGGACTTAAATTGAAAAGAGAACGAGAACGAACGGAAAGAAACTAGAAAAGACTTACGGCATTTCCTTGACGATTTGCGGCATTAAACAGGTCTTTTTCACGGTTCATGAATGATTCATTGGGTTTGAGTCTAACGGGAGATCTTGGTGATTAAGCTAAGTGAAGTAAATTAACGAGAACAGGTACGTAGGGACCGCGAGACCATTGGATACCGCTGTGGTGCGACCGGAGAGGATGAGAAAGAGGGATAAAAGTCAGGGTGAGTTTGTTACCACACAAACACAACAACTCGGGGGGTATGCACTAGTGTCGCTGTTACCGATATGTTCCCTATAATACACGAGTGACTTATGAATATTTACGCTCGTTTGAATATGCATACCTAACTGACAATGTATTATTTTTCCACGACGGAAGATCAATATTTCACGGTTATACCTATATATTTTGAAATGTGGTGTTGTATACCTAGGTATTTCTAACAAACGTGGGATAGACCGACGTTTCGGTGAACTATTGGTGAGTGGAAAAGCCCTCGGACGTGACCGATTCGTGGACGATGGGGCTAGTGGGTCTGCGTCACCTCCATTCGTTCATTCTCTCTATCTGTCCCTCTCAATTTTTTTAGTTTTTCAAACTCCCCACCTCCCTCCAGCCCACCCTTTTTTTTTAAGCCCATGCTTTATCGCTCGAAATGTACGACTGGGGTATCGAGGCGTCAGGCCGATAAAATTTATCGCTCGTGTATTCTCCGAAGGCCCATTATTCCTCGATGACCATTAGTGAGCGACACAAAAATTGAAATCACTTTTTTTTTTTTACAAATCCCCTATCCCGTCGAGTCTTATGTATATGTCGTTTATTCAAATTTTTGCATCAAAGACGGCATCATTTGCGGAGCTCTGACACGTTGGATTTTCATGCAAAAAGGGAATGCAAAATTTTTTATTGTAATATGCATCTTTGCCGTCATTAAGAGGAGTGACGGGCATTTTCTCCCGGTGAAAGGAGGGTGGGTAGAGGGGGGGGAGAAGGGGCTGCGGAAGGGCTTTCACTCGTCACTGTGAAGCGAAGAAGAAAGGAAGGGGTGGAGTGCCTGGAGACATTTGCCGGATAAGCGCACTGTTATCAAAGCCATTGACGCGGTGGAATTTTTCCACATTGAATAATAATAATCACTCACCTTCGTCATCGATGGTAAAAAGCCCGATGCCATCGCCACCTCGTACGGTGTATCCAATTTTGGAATCAGGTCCCGGTGAGTCACCGTCTTTAGCGCGCACAGTAGTCACTAATGTTCCAACAGGTTGATTCTCAAAGACACTCGCGGAAACGATTAAATCCTCAAAAACCGGTGCTTGAAGATTCTCATTAACGTCAACGACCTCGATAATGAGCATTGTTTCACTGGACAATGACGGCTCACCCCGATCTTTAGCGATAATGGTGAGTGTGTGCACCTGACGTTGCTCAAAATCCAGATGTTGAGCTGTTCGTACAGTGCCGGATACTCGGTCGACCTTGAAGTAACCCTCACTATCCATGGCATCTGACAAGAAATACTCAATTTCACCACCCGAGCCCTCGTCTGGATCAGTTGCCTCGACAACCGCAACAACGCACCAGACAGGAACATCTTCCCGAATCTTCACTGAATAACTGGACAATGCAAATTTCGGTGGATTATCATTGATATCATCAACGGTAACACGGACCAAAGCATCGGAATATAAAGATGGTAGATCCCCGCTGTGTCCGCCATTGTCACTGGCCCGAATCTTCAGCTCATAGATCTCCTGTCTCTCACGATCCAATTTACCAAAAACACTCAGTACACCACTCAATGGATCAACTTTAAAGTCCTTGGTTTCAGTCACGAGAGCATAACTCACACGTGCATTTTCACCCAGATCAGCGTCAGTTGCATTAGCCCGAAATACCTGCGTACCATTGATAGCATTTTCTGATATCTTGAAACTCGCTAATGGCTTCTCGAACTTGGGCGCGTTGTCATTTACATCCAACACTGTAATTGGTAGCATACGTGATGCCGATTTTTGTGGTTTACCGAGATCATAGACACTGATATTGAGAAAGTATTCACTTTCTCTCTCGCGATCCAAGTACCCAATCACATTGATATCTCCAGTTTCCTGATCAATGCCGAAAACCGAGTCTCGATCGCCGCTCGATATCCCATAAACGAGTTTACCATTGTAATCAAGATCCCGATCTTTAGCGCGTATTTTCACAAGTGTTGTGCCGAGTTTTAGAGATTCATTGACTTTAATTTCATTGGGAAAATCGATGAACTCAGGCGCATGGACATTACCACCGTACCGCCTCGGTGTTAAAGACTGATTATCATCCTGCGAGGGTTGATCGTTCTTCTTGGCACTAGCAATAGCCTCAGCGAGCCGTCTAGCAACGCCAGTATCGGTGCATCTAGCAGCAGTATCATTATCCAGTATTTTTCCCTGTGCGACAGGACTTCTTTTAGCATTGATCAACTGAACATGAATGACATTGACATCAGCAAAGTGTGTGCCATCAGTAGCTGTTACATTGACATAAATATCATTGACACTGACATCGGTAAGATCACAGATAACCGATAGTACACCACTTGAAGCATCAAGAGAAAAACACGTGTCCTCGTTGGATGACTCCAACCGATAATGAATCATATTGCCAGCATCGAGATCAATGGCCGAGACTGTTATTATTTCCGATCCAATAGGTACATAACGTGGTACACGCACCAAGCAATCGATCTTCTCAAACTGCGGTCGATTGTCATTGACATCCCGAATTTTGATACGCAACTGCATCTCCGTTTGTCGTCTGTATGGTAATCCCCAATCACTGGCTCTAACAGCGAGTACATAATCCCGCTTCATTGTTTCATAATCAATGAGTTGTTTTAATTTGATAACACCGGTAAAGGGATCGATTTCAAATGGCACACCATCGATATTATCAATGGAATAAGATATGTAGGCATTCTCCCCCGAATCCTTATCTCTTGCTGTTACTTTAACGACAGTTGTGCCAGCTGGCTTATTCTCATCCATTTCAACCGTCATTTCTCCCTCGTCAAATGTCGGATCGTTGTCATTAGCATCGATAACATTAATCTTAACTTTGGCAGATGATTGCTTCCTGGTGCCAGTATTTCCCTGATCAACAGCCGATACCGTGAGCGTATACAACGCTTTAGTTTCAGCATCAAGTGTTACAGCAGTGTAAAGCATACCAGTATCAGCATTAACATAAAATTCACCACCCTCATTACCACCGACTATTTCCAGGGATACCAATGCATTTTTACCCTCGTCGGCGTCAGTGACCTTAAGCTTGATAACTGGTGTATTAACTGGCGCTGTTTCAGGTACACTAACGTCATACACCTCACGACTGAATACTGGTGCATTGTCATTAACGTCAGTGAGATGAACTGGCACGATTTTGTGACTGAATCGCTGAGGTGTACCCTTGTCAATAGCCCGAAGTGACAGATTGTAACCCTGACGCGCTGTCTCTCTGTCCAACAGATGAAGTATCTCGATACTGTATTCACCTGGCCTTTGTCCCGGCCTTATTCTGAAGTGGCCATTTGGATCTCCCCCAACAATATCCAAGCTCGCTATTTGACCGTGTATTCCCTCATCTCGATCTACCACTCGAACAATTGCATACACATCGGCATTCGAATTTTCAACAACGTCCGGTAGATGATTCACATATATTTCTGGGGCATAAAGATTTACCTGCTGCACCCTGATTGTGACCCTCGCTGTACTAGCACGATTCTTGCCAACCCCACGGAATAGGGTACCTCTGTCCTCAGCAAATACCACTAGCTCGTGAATCGCTCTCTCTGCATACCTGTAACAAATAATCATCATCAGGGAATAATAAAAATTCAACGACTTGGGAATCATGTCGTGTTTTCAATGTTAATTCTTGAATATTTAGCATTATGGTCGAGTTAAGGGGATAACATAACATGCACTTCCTACTGGTACTGCTAATTTACCAGTATTCAACGGGGTTAGACCCCCTTTGGCCAACATGCTCATAGGTAATGTAAAATGATAATAAAATCTGACCTCAGTGGCCTGGTGAGCGTGATGACCCCACTGACTGGGTGTACAGCAAACTGCTCAGTCTCCTCCGCAAAGCTGTAATATATTTCACCATTTCTACCTAGATCGGCATCCTCAGCTGCTACCCTCACTATACTCTTGTGCAGTGGTGTATCCTCAGTCACTGTTTCTTTGTACTCAGTTGGAAAAAACAGTGGATTTAAGTCATTAGTGTCCAATACGGTAACAACCACTGTTGTCTCAGTCTCAAGTGGTGTTTGTTTATTTCTAACGTCTTTCCAATTTGTTGTTGCACGCACCTCGAGTACATAACGATCCTTACGCTCGCGATTCAAAACATCAACGTTACCGGTGCGTGTCCTTATCAGGAGAAAACAAAAATCACCGACAGTGCGTTCCTCGGCTTTGAAAAATTTATCACGATCACCACTTATTATTCTGTACTTAATATCACCACTCCCAAGTACTTTAGACAGTTGTATTCCCATTCTATTTTCGGGTATGACGTATGTTTTGCCAATGGAATTCTCTGATATTGAGACATTGTAGAGGGGTTTGGTGAAATGAAAATCCTGAGGTGTAATCTGGGGCAACGATGGGCTCGCTGTGGAGCTGCTGATCGGTGATGCTGTATGGCCACCGGAAGATGCTGAACCAAGTATGGCTGCCATAAACCACAGCCATAGCCACATCCATGACCAGGCGGATAAGCCACGCCGCTGCATCCTCCACATGTTGCTAGCTCATCCTTTCCATGCGTTCGCCTCAGTACCTCCTTCACGCTGACTTTCTATCCACTGCTCGTGGCTTTTCACCTGAAACCATAACCAAGAAAAACAACATTAAATTATAGTGTTCAAATGTCGTTATCAACCTAATACGACACGACCATTTGGAATGTTATCTAACTGGTTTTTACACCGGCTAATGTAGTGATTTGTTTCAACTATGTTCGTAAAGGATTAAGTAATTGGCGTAATCTCAGTAGTTTTCTAACTCCCCATCTAATCTCTGACGGTGAATAACGATTACATCCATCAGGATTATTAATCGGCCGAACAGCCGTTAGAGTTTAATGAATGAAACGAATCACCCGAAAAGGGGCACGATAAAACAGAGACTTGTACCGTTTAAGGTGAATTAGTTTCTCAATATCGATATGCAATTGTGTGACCAGCGAATTGACCGATCGCATTACCCTACTGAACTTCCATTACGCAATTCTTCCAGTTGGCCAACTCTCATTGTATACTTCTACCCTAAACCCCGTCAGCAATTTCCGATAATCGTCTTTACCTATTTCTCGCGTAATTGCATCTCAACGAGCTTTCTCTCAAGAAAAGAAGCTTCCAGTGACTCATGACTTTATTCAACTGGCAATTTTTTATTCCCAAACATTGAATTCTGTTGCAGACGCTGTGCATCAGACAGATTCGAAGGCTGGTAATTCGTTTCATCTCACCTTTTTTTTTTCCTTTTCTTCTCGCATCTCCACCGTTTCTTTCCAATGTTTAACCATAAATCGATTTAGCGGAGAATCAGGGAGGTGGAGGTATTGGTGGAGAGAGCACAGCAGCTGGACTGTCGAGAGGAAGGGGAGAGACTGTCGGCTGAAAACGAGTTACACGGGAGCTTCGATATTTTACGGCGATCGTTAACTCGTGGTACATGGAACGAGTAAGTGCACGATCGCCATGTCCTCACGCGTTCAAGGCTCTCCCTCCATTTGTCCCCCACCACTTCAATGGTTTTGAATGTACAAAAGCACTGGAATTTCAAAATCACCTGGATCTCCATCCCCCGCCCCACTCCACCCCCTCCGCGAACAACAGCCAATTGATAAATTTTCGCGCGATGCTTTTTTTTTATTCGTATCTCCAGTCTTTACCGTCTAGGCTTTTATCATCAGCACAAATTGGGTCACTGGTAAATTACGAGTGGCCCAGAACTGCACTTTTATACTCACTGTCTACTCACGTAGTTCCTCTCTCTGTACAGCCAAAAAAAAAAAAATCTGAATTATCCAGCTGCACCATGAATCTGAAGAATGAATTAAATCACTCAATCTGTCGATAGTAACTTTTCTCTTTCATTCAATTTTCTCCCACTCGGCAATTTTCTCCGAATGTTATCCAGGAGTGGACATAATTGATCGGGATTTGAAGACAGACGACTGGTCGGCCATTGTCATCATCCTGAATAGACGTATTAAAGCAGTTAATCGTTGGAAAATTCAATTGTTGAGAACCGGCGAGATTCCATCGCCTTCAACTCGTTTTACGTGGAGCACCTCGCAATTTCGATTGTTTGTTTGTCATTGTCGGATAGAAACAAAAAAAACACTTCATTATTCCATTATTTACGTGTCATTCGGTGGTACCCACAATGATCGTAGGATTGTAATATCACCAGACAACTCATCTCTCAGGATTACAAAAATGATTATATGAACAGTTCCTTGTCTAAATAATTCATGACCCCAATTAATGAGCTTTGTAATTAATTTGTCGTATGACAAGATGCGCTGTCTTCAATTGTCCCGTAACAAAATGGAATGATTAATTAACCTGTTCCGTACGACAGGTTCACGTGATTTCGAGTTGAATAAAAGTCATTCTCCATTTCTCCCTCCAGTCACGATGACAGAACATTTATGACAAGGATTGCTCCAAGTCGAATCAGCCCATCGCACCCGAAACATCTTCCTCATAAGAATGACTGTCGCATACATATAAGCTAAAAGGATAAACGCACACCTGTTGAAGCCACCGAGTGAAATATAAATATGATTGTGATAAATGTAAGGGTAACACACTGAGAGTTACCTTGAGTGGCCTCTATATTTTCGTTTCGTCCTCAAAATATGTTCCACACGTTGTGGTTAAAGCAAAGTTTATCGTCAGATGTTGGCTGGACTAGCCAGTAGAATCCAGTCCTGTTGAATAATACCCCCAAAGTTCGCACAAACCCTCAAAATTTAAAATTAATAACACTGAGCATTGTATAATTAATGGCCAGTGAAAATTAACAGCAGTGGATCTGAAACGTTAATTCCCCCAGTCAATTGTCGACGAATGAACAATTGAATTTAACCCGTCAAACTATCACTGAAAATCGCAACAATATTACACGTCAAGGGAGGACGTGCCCCTTTTTTATTACTATTTAAATTGCTTTTTTTTTTTCAGAAACATGATAAGCGAGGACGAGGGGGGGAGTTGGCAGCTGCGGGCGCGCGCTGAATATTTAACCGGTTTCCGCGCGCGAGATTCACAATGCCTGAAAGCCCCCACCCCGGAGGGGCCCGGAGATAATCCAGGGGTCCATATTTAATAAACGGCAAATCCGACCAATGCAACCGTGTGTACACCAATTCATTCAACGTACAAATCATCCCGTTGACGATATAAACACACACCAAATACGATTGCTCGTATAGCGTTTATTTATTTATTTTTTATCATGGTAAATTATTCCGTGGAATTCTTAAATACACGGTGAAAATTTGCGTGATACATCCACAAGAGGATCGCGTGCATGTGTTCATTGGAGGGCTTTGGAACACTTGACTTGGAGAACAAGGGGAAATAAAGGGGGGAAATGAGAGAAAAATAAAAATACGAGTATACGCCTTAATGTCCCTCTGACTTGGTTTCAACTTCTCGACCCTCGGAACTTTTATCCAGTGACTCTTGGACAACACGCGGTGAATATCAGGACGGTACAACCTTCCTGTACTTTTCTGTTCACGCGAGGAATTTGTAATGGAAGGAGAAAATTGGATTGCTGGTAAAATTAATCTCAACCCGTGTACCCCGGTGTCTTATGGAGATGGGAGAATAGAGGGGGATTTTCAGTGGTGAAAATCCACTTGATACAGCGGCTCAGGAGCTCCGTGAAACTCTGTGAAATGAAACTTTTGAGGCCTCAAACTCATAAATTTCATTATTTCTCAATTGAAGTAAGCGCGGGGACTGTCTGCAACAGATTTACCCCCCTTTGTTCACAAAATTTTGGTGAATTACTCCTGGGATTTGTTTAATTTTCGTTTCAGTCGAAAAGTTTGATATTCCAAATGAGGTATTGATTTATAAATGAAATTACTTCTGCCTAGAAAGAAACTGGGGCAACCAAGTTTCTGTTTGTATCCGCAAGATCTCGGAGATAATTCAAGAGTAATTCTCGTCTTTTTGTCGACAGAGAGTTCCAACTTTTCAGCTATCGATTACGCTGAAGTGGATATTCAGAATTCTGCTGAAGTCTAGCCGCAGCCAGAAAAGACTGCCAAGAATCATGGCATCTTCAATACGCGTCGAGTGCCCACGATTATGCTAATGCTTGCGTACCCAAGCAGTTTTTGATACACATGAGTCTCCCAAATATCTTTCCCATCCGATTATGCCAGAAATTCACACCCATCACAGGGCTATTCAGTAAAAATTACATATTTTTTTCCTAATCCCCACGCAAAATGCAATTCTCATCTGAATTACTTACGCCACGTTATCTGTATTCTCGGAAAATCTCAGCATTTCCACAAAATTTCACAAATTTTTTCCTCAAACCATTTCTAAAAATGTTCAATGAGCCTTGTGGAAGTATCCATAAATTTTAAATTCCTCCAAACTCTGAGTGAATTGAAAAATAAATTTCTATATAAATGTCAGAATCACCCGGAAATCGCGGAATTTTCAGATGAAAAAATAGTTGGCAAAGAAAAAACCACCGTATTACTCCTCCCTCCATTACGCCAGCATAAATGTACGTCCCGCATAAATGACAGTATAAAAATAATGCAGTATCATTACAGCGAAATCACCCTCAACAATGATACATTTGTGATATGATTCAAAGTTAACAGAACCAATTCGTCCGACAAATCCATCACACGTGAGCCCTATTCTCCAATCATGTACGAAAATTGAGTTTATCGCGACTGTTTTCCCTCTATCATATCCGCAGGATAACGAAGGTGGGGATGCGGTCACACAGACTAATGTGCAATTTTCTACACATGCAGGGGGAACAACCCCAGCACTGGGCTTTTCCCCCCCTAACAGAGAATCCGATTTTGATATTGACATTTTGCGATGTCCATGCTCTCCTATCCCCTGTCCTCGTCTCTATTCGAACCAAGGCTTTAATTAAACGTACCAATTTACGAGCGTTCACATGGTACAATCTCCCATCTGTATTTTTCCCCCTTGCCCACCCTTATTTTCACTCCACACCAGCCGGAAAATAGACGACCATTTTCCAATGAGAACGAGCTCTCGTAGTCGTGATTGGACATACGTTTGGGGGGTAATGAATATTTATGCGTCTGTGGGATTCACTTCTTATTCGCGAGCAAGTCGTCGCCTCCGTATATTTGCGATTCCATCGGCTCATTAATTCCCTCATGAGGAACGATTGAAGAACAAATTTGTTGCTTTCCATTTTCCACATTTTTTCGTTCCCAGAGATTTGATATTTAAGGTAAACTCCAATGTTAGTATCCCTCATTCAATTATCAAGTTGCTGATGATTATGCCGTGCTCGTTAAAAACGATTAAACAAATACACTCGAGACGCGAGAACCCCTGGAAGCCCCAGCTGTTGACTGTCAACCGAATAACCACGATAATCCAATTACCTCCCAAAACTTCTCCATAATCACTTAAAAAAAAAGACGGGAGGACTTCTGACTGAAGCCCCGGACCCCCAAACATAAACTCAAAACTTCCATCAAATTCCGGGTAAATGTGCACTGGAGGTAATCTTCTTTGGTGTAGGCTAAGAGCAAAGTTGGAAGGTGGCTTTGGCCAGTCTGAAC